AAAAAGACAAGGGCTGGGTGTTTAGTGTAGCTCAGTAGTAGAGTGTTTGCCTAGCATCCTCAGGCCCTGGGTATTATCCTCCAGGGGGGGAAAAAAAGAAAGAGAAAGGGCTGGGGATTTAGCTCAGTGGTGCCACCTGCCTTGCAGTTGCAAGGTCCTAAGTTTGATGCCTGTACCAAAAAACAAATTGAAAGACTTATTAGAATCAACAGTTTGATTCTTTCTATTTTGCCCGGAGTAATAGGAGTAAAATTCAGAGGGGCAAGAATATTGCCTTCTAGAAATAACAATTTGTGTATATATATTTTTTAGAAGAACTCTACACTTTTCAGGTTTTAGCATTCACTTGTCATTAAATCCTCTTGGGTAGAGAATTAAGCCATGAAAGAAACACTACATTCCTGCAAAGGCTTTTGACTTCTTTTATTATGACTTTACTTCTCCCAGGAGCAGCAAAAGGAGGAAGGTTTGGGAGGGAGAGAAGAGACATGAATATGAATCTTAAAGTTAGTATTTAGAGATGGATTCCCCCTCAGCCTCAGGCGCGGTGTGGCCTCCCTAGCTGCACCTGCTGGTGTGTACGCTAGTAGACAACACTGGTCACTGGAGATGTTGCAGCTGTGAGGGCTGTGTCTCATTCTCCCTTGTCTCCTAAGCCAACCTATAGACATTGTGACTAGAATGGTAGATGCTGGCTAGCATTGCTGTATGCCTAATGATCCAAGAAATGCTTACAACTGCTTTTTGCTTTTTTTTCTGTCCTATTCTGGAATGAAGGCAGTGTAAGTAGCCTCCAGGATGGAGACTGATTACGGAATGGAGGCAGGGAATATGCAGGAATGACTCCTGGCCCCACTGGGGTACAGCTCTCAGTGCGCAAGGGACAAAACTCCAGCAGCCACCAGGTTCTCCAGTGAATTGCAGCTGCCTGTAACTCATAGACGATAGAGCCATTCTTTAAGGAAGCTGCAGAGTTTGGTATTACACATGAGTACTCTAGAGAAGAATATTTATAATCAGATCTTAGAGAACTTGAACATTTGCCTCAGATGTTTCTCAGCCCCTAGAGATAGAACTATAACTTTATAACTTCATCTCTCTTAAACAGACACTTCTGTGGTTAAAGAAAAGAAAATTACTATGTCACTTTTGCTATATAAGTTACATCTGATGGATTGGGGATCTGAGCACCCTTTACTACTGGAAAGTGCAGGTTTTCCTCGGCCTTGCTAAGACCAGTGCAAGACTGAGCAGTGTACAAGCACCATGGAGATATAAGAAGTGTACGGAGGAAAAAAACCATACTTTTAACTTATAGTTTAGAGTACATGAAGGGTAATAGACAAGCAGGCAATAACTCCTTCTATTAATTCACATTTATAAAATATATCAGAATAGATATCCCTGAGTAAATCCGGAGGTGATAATTTTTATTTGACTGTTATTATACTTACATAGACCCATTTAGTAATGCCACTAGTGTGTCCTTGGTCAGCTCTTAAGTTTACTTTAGAGCTAGGCTTTTCTTTTTTCACTTAGCATTTCTACTTCACTGAATACTAAGATGCAGAAAGAAGGGCAGTAATTGAGTTTTGCAACAGATAGACTGAGGAGATTATAGGCCCACCTGGGCCCTCATTTTAGAGAAGTGTCACATGGGTGGAACTGTGGTCACATAACTGTGCAAGGTTTTGAATAGTATTCTTTTTCTTCCTGCTTATCTACATATTTGAATCTGCAGAGAATTTTTAAAGTGAATAGTCATTGCTATTTATGTTTATTTGATTCTGTGGCATAAATTCACAGCTGCTTTGACAAATTTTGAGTTGAGTTGATACAAGGAAAATTAATGGATGCTAAAGAAGACAAGGAGAAGCCTTCAAAGAAGGAAGAAGTAAAGCAAGTGGGGGGAGCGGTTCACCAAAACTTTAAAACTAGTGGAACAAAAATAACTAGATCCCCATTTTAAAACTGAAACTGGGTTTAAAATGTAGAAGGAATATAGACTCAAGTAGTTTATACGTCTGTTAGAAAAAACACAAAGGAAAAGAGACTTCTAGTGATCTCATAAACTTAGCATTTGAAGAATATACCTGATTTGAAGATAGCTTAATAGTAGATTTTAGTTTGAAAGTGTAGCCATTTCACTTCTGTTAGATGCTGTGTCAGTTTGTCTTCATTTCTGGAATGGAAATGTTTACTCTGCCATTTTACTTTCAGATTAGGTAACTTGATTTTTGAATTTTATAGGGACTCACAGCTAAAAGTAGTCTGGAATTTCAGAAGAGACTTTGGACTTGGACTTTTTAGTACTGCTGGGACTGTTGAGATTTTGGGGAAGAAATTATTACATTTTCCGTTATACACAGATTAGTTACAAAGCTGAGCGTGGTGGTGCATGTCTGTAATCCCAGCATTCGGGAGGCTGAGGCAGGAGGATTGCTGTGAGTTCGAGACCAGCCTGGGCTACATAGTGAGTTCTAGGTCAGTCTCAAGTACATGGTGAGACCCTGTTTAAAAAAAAAAACAGCAGTTACATCGTATTAGGCAAAGTCATACCCTTCATACTGTATTTGTTTAGCGATTTGGTGTGGTTTAAGGAGATGTGATTAGGTATCAAGTTGACAAGGAGTGGATATATGCCATTAATCTCCATCGTCAGTTTGACTGGATTAAGCGTCTCTGAGATCTGATTGGATGGGTCCCTGATGCTCATGGCCGAGTGTGCTGTTAGGAAGGAATGCGGTGGGACGTGGTCGCAGGGTGCTTTGTTGGCAGCATGTCTCTTGCTAAAGGTCTGCCTGTGCCCTGCTGCTCTCCTGCACCTTCTGCCGTGATGTTTCTGCCTTGGAGCCAGATGACCATGACTGTGAGTCTCAGAAACCACGAGTTAAATTAAACCTGCCTGGCTTTTAGTTGCAGATATTCTAGCCCAGCAAAGGAAAGCTGACTGATACAGGTGTTGTCCAGCCTCTCAGGCAATGGTGATGTTTGAGAAATAAAATTTCACATTGTAGATGAGGGACTTCATTTGTATTACTTATTTGATCTTGTAGACCTGTACGTACAGCAAACCTGAAAACCTTACGTGCCTTCTACCCGCCAAGATTCAGAGCATACTTCACCCCAGTAGAAGCCTGCTTCTTTTCCTAACCATCGATAGTTTCCTCTTGTTCCCATCCCCCAACGAGGGAAGCCCTCCCTCGTGGTTGGGAATCGTGGCCTCCCTTCTTCTGTGGTATCTGCCTTTCCCCTCGCCTGCCTGGCACCCACAAGCCATTTCAGACACAGTTGGAGCATTGCTGTGGTGATGTCCCTGCTGGGCAGCTGCTTTGTTCTGCTGGTGTGGGACCATGTGGGTGGGCTGCCTTTTACCCCTGCTGCTGCCTCTACCTCTCTTCCCCTGCGCAGAGGATCTGATTGTTTGCTTTGTTACAGATCGAACTTCCTTGCTGCTGGGCCTGTGCCACCCACACTGTTCCGAGGAGGTGGGGTCAGTGCTATGTGGTGCTCGGTTTTGGTCACCCTGGGATGCTGCAGGGAAGGGACCGCTGCTCCCCCTCAGGAGGAGGATGCACTCAGCTGCCTCCTCACAGTCGCCCACATGGGCCCCCATTGCTCAGGAACTTCCTCCTGTTGCCTGTCTCCTCGGGTGTCTCCCCACTTTGGAGTTCTCTGCACAAGAGCCCCTTGCCTCTGTGAAGTCCTGAGGGTAATAGGGAGAGCTCTCAGCTCTGGGGTCGTGATTTTTTTCCAGCTTCTCTGGCATCCCTGTTGCTCCCGAGGAACAGGACGTGTTCCCATAAGTGTGCCTTACGACGTGTCCCTCGACACTCCCATGACCCCCATGACTCAGAGGTCGCTGGCCTACAGAC